AAGTTCGCGGGAAAATCGAACTTCCGTTAAGTTCGGCCGAGGTCACCTTCCCTAATCTGAGGGTCACGGTTTCACCTCACTTTCGTCCGAACCGCAGATAACAGTGGAGGTGTGTCCTTTTTTGTTCGCGTTATTTGATAGTTTTGTATAGTGAGTTAAAGCAACGTGGTTTTACTTTATACTTGAATTCTAATTTCTCCTCGTTGATTGTTTAGTTATAGCTATCAATCAAAAAGTAGTGTGCGTCATAGGCTAGACTTTGTGTGTGCAAAAAACAAGCTAGACCAGGTAATGTGCTGCTCGGTAAAGAAACTCTGTGCAATGTGCTTAATGGTATTTTCAACAGCCCACGGCTACATCCTCTTCCAACGCCATCATCTGCATCCCCGGGGCGAAAGATTCCGGCAACCGTCACCTTGGCCGGTGGAAAGCGATCCGCATCCACATCGCTTGTCGGGGCTTGGTGGTTGTCAAGCGCCACCTGTGGTAGAATTACCATCCGTCCAACCACGTGGAAATCGTTGGCCGTTTAATCACCAACGGTCGAACGCTAAGTAGCACCGTCGCCGCCCGTAACAGCAGCGCAGCAGTCAACAGCAGCATCATCAACTGGTGAGTCCGTTCCAATTGTTTCTTTGTTGAGTGTGGCGTCCGGCGAGGGCGCCACGGAGGACCTTTTTTGCCGACCATCAGGTCGAAGAGCATGAATTGCTAAGATTTGGATAAGTCCAATATTTGTGAAGTTGGGTGTCGGCAGGACAACGTGCACACGTATCGTAATATATGGATGCCCACCCAACCCATTAATGTGAGACACCCGGGTGCCAAGCTTTGCCGTTCCCCGCTTGCTGCCTCGTCGTGAGATTAACCGAGAAGAAAAACACAAGAGCACAGCACAATATGATAGGTAGATAGAAGAACCGCACGCACACAAGTATAGGTAGAGGAATAGAATAAAGAGGAGTAGGTAAATACAAGCAATCCAAAGTTCTGAAAGCATGAGTTTACAATAAACCTCAACTTACCGTTTTCCGTTATAAAATGAATGTTTGATTTGAATTGAATGTAATGTTGTTGATCAGTCCTATTAAAACTTTTGAATGAAAGGAAGAAAGTGTCTTCACGTTGTTTCGGGTCCGGGTAATTATGTTGTCTTCCGTGTGGTCGGAATTTGACTTGTATGTGGCGTACCTCTTTTGTTGAAGCTGCACCTCTGGCGGAAATAAGTGGAACTACCGATGAGGAAAGCTTGACGTGTAACGTCGTTTAGGTTTGTGTGATCTCTTACCGTGAGCTTCGGGGAAATATTTCGGGGTGTGAGAGATTATGCTGTTTTAGCAATAAGGTTTTCTACCCGATCAATTTCGGTGGTAGTGAAGCTGGCTCGATCTCTTCTTTTTAGGAAGATTACACTTGGACTCGCCCTTGAGGCAGTCTCATCCGGGCAAACTCAACATGGTATGCGGTCTCCTTTACCGGAGTGGCGCTTAAGCCGCATACTTATTCGAGATCGACCAGTGACGGCTACACATCAGCAAGCTGCCTGTTGTTCCAGACCTTGTATGATTGACATAGAGTCTTGGCTACGATTGGAAAAGTCTGTTCTGGATAAATCCTGGATAAACCGCCCACGTGGGCCTATTGCTCACCAAAGCCTACCTGGATTTATTAATTTTATTTGCACAATTAAAATATTTCTATATTTTACTCAGTTCTATCAGAACTCACAAAATTCACTATTTGAATATCAAAAAGTACAGTAAATTACATAGTTGGAGATGCTTAACTTTAAATATCAGACTTAAAGTGGTAATTTTATACGATAGGTGAGGAGATGAAAGTTTAGAGTTGATAGTTCCGTTAGAGTACGGCAGTGTGAAAATTGTATATAGAGAGTAGAAAGCGAGCAAAGGTCAATTTTGAGGAAGGCACGAATCGGGTTGATCATCTCTCTTTACCAAACTCCCCTGTTGGGGAGGGATGGTGAGGGTTATACCAGGAGGGCAAAAAATACTTTGAAATTCCATTCCCAAAAAGGATTGACGTTGTATTTTCCTTTTAATATTTTTTTTCCAGAATGCACATTTATCACCTTCACGAGATGATTATCTAGATTAATTTTGTTAGAAAAATAATTTAACATGATAATAACAAAATTATTTTAAAAACCTTCCGTCGATCACATTACAGAATCTTTTAATGTCGCGAAACATTTCGAATCTTGTTGAGAGAAGTCTGGATTTTCCATTCGCGGCCGGTAACTTAGATGAATCTACAGCTGTTCTTAATAACGCTTTGAAAACGTGTATTTACCAATCAACTAGTTGAGCAAAAGTTTGTTTCTTTGAAAAACTCGAACAGCTGGTACAATTTGAATCTTTTGCGTCTTAAACGGAAAAGGGACAAATGGTACAAAAAGTTTTGTAGATCTAATAATGACAATCATTGGACTAGGTACATAATCGCGCGTAATAAGTATTCACAATCGATAAAGAAAACTCGTTGTGCATATGTTTAAAGGAAGATTGATCAGCATCAAAACAACAGCAAAGAGTTATGGAAAATTTTGAAATCTTTATTAAAACCTAGTAATTGCAAACCGCGGTTCATAACTTTTAATGGCACATTAGAACAGTCAGAACAAGTAATTGCAGCTAAGTTTAATGATTATTTCGTAGATAGCGTTTCATTGATTAATCAATCTATTGAATTGGTCGATGAACCTGACGAAATAAAACAGCCAGTTAATAGTAGTTGTAGATTTGAAGTTTTTCACCCAATCACATTAGATGAACTTAGAGTTATTTGTTTTTCATTAGGAAAATCGGTTGGAGTAGATAATGTTAATGCTAGAGTTATTCAAGATTGCTTTCATGTCATTGGCCACATCTTGCTGGACCTTATTAATGAATCATTACAAACTGGACATGTGGCACAAATTTGGAAGGAATCCTTAGTGGTCCCTATTCAAAAAGTTGCTGGAACGATTAAAGCCGAAGAGTTTCGTCCCATCAACATGTTGCACACATTAGATAAAATTTTAGAACTTGTTGTTAAAGGCCAGCTGTTGGAGTATTTAAATAGTAATAGTTTGTTGATACCAGAACAATCGGGATATCGGGAAGGTCATTCTTGTGAAACCGCGTTGAATTTGGTATTAGCGAAGTGGAAAAATAACTTGGAGTGTAAAGATACGATTGTTGCTGTTTTTTTGGATCTTAAACGCGCTTTTGAAACAATTTCTAGGCCCTTATTGTTAAGATCAATCAAGCGCTTTGGAATTACGAGTACTGCATATAAATGGTTTGAAAGCTATTTGTCTGACAGAACTCAACGGACTGTTTTTAATGATTCTGTTTCCAGTCCCGTGGGGAATACCCTTGGAGTGCCCCAGTGAAGTATATTAGGGCCCCTGTTATTTATTATGTATATTAATGACTTGCGACGTGTTTTACGATTTTGCGACATTAATCTTTTTGCAGATGATACTGTGTTATTCATTGCAGCTAAGGATTTAGATGATGCCGTTTTACACTTGAATGAAGATTTGCGTTCTCTAAGTAGATGGTTGAAGTATAAGCAGTTAAAATTGAATACAAGTAAAACTAAATTTATGGTAATTTCGCGGAATCGAGTAAATGAGAACGTCTCTGTTGTAATTGATGATGAGACTATTGATCGCGTTCGGGAGATTAAATATCTTGACGTGATTATTGATGACACACTTAAGTTCAACTCTCACATTGACAATGTCATCAAGAAAATTGCCAAGAAGTATGGAATTCTATGTCGACTGAAAAACGATTTAACTATTGCCAGTAAAATACAGCTATTCAAATCAATCACCTCTCCTCATCTTGACTTTTGCCCTTCCATTTTATTTCTGGCCAATGCAACACAAATATCGAGATTACAGCGCTTGCAGAATAAAATAATGCGTTTGATTTTGAGATGTAATAGATTCACTTCCTCAACGCCTTACAATGGTTGTCGGTGAAGCAAAGAATTGTATATTTGACTATGGTGTTCATTTTTAAAGTAGTTAACGGTTTGCTGCCTCGATATTTGTGTGATAGAATTGAAAGAGGAAGTGACTTTCATAGATATAATACTAGAAACGCGGTTGAATGTGAGTTGGAATCTATTATCAAGTAGGGTAAACGCCCCTATAGTTGCGATACGTTAGAAGCGTTAGGTTCCTATAATTGTGTATGGAGACTCCACACACAACAATTGGAACCTAACGCTTCTAATGTACCGAAACTATAGGAGCATTTACCCTACCATCAGTTTATAATGTACCCGAAAAGTTTCATACTTTGTTCAGATAATGTCGTGAAAAGTACCAAAACTTTGTTTTCTCATCTATAAGAGCTCATGGAGAAAAGAATCTCCAATAGTGTTTTTCTCAGCATGCTGTTTTATGAGATAACTATGCTGAAAAGGGCAGTTAATGGCATGATCTAAATGTCAAAACTAGCTGAATTTTAGACTCCAACCCTATACTTTTCAAATGAACAAAATTAAGACAAATTAATCGTTTATAACAACTGTACTTTTCCACCACTACTGATTGAACTGTGCAGAACTGTACTTTGGAATCTCAGCAAATTCCTAGTCTCTGAGCTCATTTCTTTTGATTCTTCTTCTTAGTCGCAGCTAAATGGCGTCTGAACTGTAAATTTCCTCTCAAACCAGTGTCAATGTAATGTGTAAGATCCTCGACCGGATCGAGAGTTGAACCCCCTGTCTCCAATATGTACTTTCACACTTCGTCCTATCTACAAGATGAGATATCTGGAGGCTCCTGTGCTTGCTTGCCTTGCCACCTGGTATTCGACACATTTACATAAAATATCGCCTTTCCAACACTTTACAACCGATCACTTCACAGCAGTTCACCTCAGAACATTCATCTAACAGGTGTTTAAAATTTTATAAACTAGTCACCCACCGGACTTATGCAGAATACATAAATTTCCAAACTAAATGCCACTCACCTTTGGTTGCGCAAACCGGAATCGGATCGTACGGGATCTTGGTAGCCTCGAAGAACATGTAGAGGGCACGGGAGTGTGTTGACAGGAGATCGTAGAAAAATTTTACCGGTCGTGGCATCTTGGCAACAGTTGCTAATCAATTGAAAATAATTATCGCACAATCGGTTCGGTTCCAAAAGAAATTATCGCGCGTGTGCACCAACACACAACTGGGAGGTGAATGCAATGTGAATTTCGTGCCTGCTTTCAAGAGGTGCGTGTAAATATGTCGAAAGTCACGTAGTTCACACCAGTCACACACTGCTGCAGAGCTCGGTTGGTTGAATGAGGGGTAGCGATTTTAGGCGGAATGCCTTTACCGACTGACTAAACGCGTCTGCGTCCGTTGGAAATGCAACTCCAAACTGAACTGAACTCTCCGGCTCTGTGGCTTTCGGACGCGCTGCTCTGTGTGGCCTGATGCTTCGTTCCTCAATGAGTAACAAATATTATTGCGGGCGCGCACTGTTTCGCACACACATATGGAGAGCCACGCGTACGCCACAGTGGTACCACGATCCGATGAGTGGCAGTAGGGGACATAATGCTTCGAACTTGTTGCTGTGTGTAAACAAATCGGCACTCACTCCGGTGATGATGGGCGGAAATTTGTGTGTTTGGGTTCATAGATAAGCGGACGGGAGAAGATGCTTGTGGGTTTATTTATAAATCGGCCTTCGACGATGGATCTTCAAAACGGCCATGCTTAACTAAACAAGATCTGCCTTATTTTTTGGAGTGTTAATATGTAACATTTACTTTGAGCACGTTCTGAGGCCTACTCGAATTGCCGCAGCGAACCTTCTACCATCGAAGATTCAATTATGGTGATACAAACTCTTACACGAAGTGTCAGTGTACTGCAGTGGTGATAAATCTCATTCATTCATTATGGCGAAATTGGCGTTGACTAGTGTGATGATTTTGCTTGCGGTTTCACGGAATGTCATGCCATTTGATGCTGTCAATGACGTTCATGTACATGTTTTTATTGTAGCATAATTTATAATGGAACAAGGCTGTTTTAAACTGCATGGATTACAGTACATTGCATTCCCGATTTTGGCATCAATGGCTCCCTAATTTTGGCAAAAACATTTATAATTATTTAAAACTTTGGATTGTTTAGGTGTTATGAAATAAATTGAACGAAAACCGACAGGCATTCTCTCCGTTTCTTAAGTGTTTCAAAGTTGATCAACATGGAACGGAATTCATAAGAAGGAAGGGGAAAAGCAGTCCTGCTTAGTTTCGTAAGAGCGAATAGTAAAAATTGTGCTTGAACTGATTCTACTAGGTGGGGTGAAAAGTAACCTCCTTGACCGCCAGAATGCGCTGCTACTGCAAAAAAGGTTATGGTGCCTTGTTGTTGACGTGTTTGGCATCATTTTGAGTATGGATAAAAACGATTTTCGTTCTCTCATAAAACATTAAATTTTGAGAGGTAAAACGGCGAAGGAAAAAAATGAAAAGTTGGATAAATATTATGGGGCTAATGCTCCGTCATATTACACCGTCAAATATTGGTTTCGAGAGTTTCATGGTGGCCGCAACTCCACTACCGATCAAGTCCGCAGCGACAGGCCCTCCGATGCGGTTACAGAGGACCGGACAGTGAAGGTGCGCGAGCTAGCAGATACCGCAAAGATTAGTACTGAGCGCACACGCCATATTTTGGGCGAGATTCTGCATATGAAAAAGTATAAGGGTCTGTGCCTAGGGGCACGAACGGAAGCTTGACGTAGGACCGCTAGTGGACGGAATAAATGTGAAGAGCATTTAGTTCTTTTAATTGATCAATTATCTATTATCTCAACTCTTTCCGTTTTTGAATTGTAGGCGTACCAAATTTGTAGTTTTTCAAGTTTGGTTACAAGATTACAACTCTGAAGAGCATTTTGTGTGGTCGTTGGGGGCTTGTGGTTCTGAATATGGACAAACAAGCACAGATAAATTCTGTTCCAACTCTTTACTGATGTAAGCTTGATGGCCCTGAAAAGGGCCGTTTTATTGAAGAGGACGTCCATGGCCACTTACGCTTGGCGTGTTTAGTGTAGGTGACAGCATCATGGATCTCATTTTTCAGGAACACCTTCAGCACACCCCGTAATCAGACCGGAGATACGTTTGACACCACCACGGCGAGCCAGACGACCGATGGCGGTTATCTCGAAGAATTTGCGTTTGGTTCTGAATTTGGCGATGAGTGTGCAAAATATTACGCAATTCCATCCTCCCTATTCGCACGCGCCCGAGGATCGGAGGCGAATGCCACTTCGACTTGTTTCGTCTACTTACTACCCTCTGACGACTGTGCTGGGGAAGCACCATATGCATGTAGGTAATTGGTGGATTTGTTAGTTAATTCGACGCTTTTGAACAATGCTGGACATTTACCAGTTTTCCAATAGTTTCTTGTTGAACATCAACATTCGGAAGCATTGTTATCGATGCGTAGCCATATTTCTGATCGATTGGTGATAAAATTATTGATATTGGACCAGGGGCAGCTGAGTTATTAACGTTCAAAATCTTTCTTAATTTGTTACATGTTCCATTTTCGGTTTTCATAAAGAGTACCCCCATATAGAAATCAAAGACGTAGTCCTACGTCAAAATTTATCCTGCCGCTGGGTGCCGCGCAAGCTCACTCCTGACCAAAAACACGAACGCAAGAGCACTTCGAGAAAGAGTGTTTGGACTTGCTGATGCGGAATCGGACGGACTTTTGGCGTCGATTGGTAACTGTTAATGAAACCTGGATCCACTATTACACCCCAGAGAACAGAATGAGTGCCCGAGAATGGACTGAAGCCGGCACGAGTGCTCTGAAGCGGCCGAGGGAGGCTCGATGGGTCGCAAAGGTTATGGCGTCGGTTTTCTGTGATTGTCATGGCATACTCTTCGTGAAAAAGGAAAAACCATCAACAGCGAGTATTACGGTGCATTATTGGAGCGATTGAAGGCCGAAATCGCTGCAGAAACGGCCTCACATGAAGCGAAAAAAAAAAGTTTCTGCAAGACAATGCGCCGGTGCACAAGTGCATCGCAACCACGGCTAAAATCAATGACTTACGGCTGCAATTGCTTCTGCATCCACCGTATTCGCCCGATTTGGCTGACTATGATCTCTTCCCAAACCTCAAAAGATGGCTCATCAATAAAAAATTCAGCTCACGTGAGGATCTCATCGACGCAACGGAGGAGTATTTTGCAGACCTTCCGAAAAAATACTTTTCGGACGGGATCATGAAGTTGGAAAATCGCTGGAATAAGTGTATCGAGCTAAAAGGGGACTATATTGAATAAAATAAAAAAAAAAAACATTAAAAAATCATTCCCAAGGAGGTTACTTTTCATCTTACCTAGTACCTATACAGTACAATATTCGAGAATTGATCTAACGTAAGCTGTATAAAGTGTTTCAATGGTATACTGCCGCTCTTCGCATGTCAGTCCCATATTCGTTTTGGACAAAACTAAGTTTTTCAATGCAAATGGTAGCTAATCACCCATATGTTTATAATACTGGATGAACTCAACAACTTTGTTCTGACAAAGTTTGGAAAGACAGTCAAATTGGTTGTCCCCTCACATAAGAAACAATGGTGCGAAGCAAACTTAAAACGCAATTTTCTCGGCTGATTTTCGCTATGGGAAGGACTTGCGAATAGTGGCAGTATATGGGTCCTTGATGTGATACCTACATGTTTTCAAAAATCCTAGCATATTGTATGCTTTGTAGATTGCAGGGCTGGTAGCAGGTCACTTTTTGTTGGCTAAGTCACTATTTACAAGTCTTGTGAAGGCTGAATAAAAGTAAATTGGTTCGCCCCTCGCGCTCCGCTAGCACGCCTCTAATGTTGGGAATCGAAAATCTTTGACAGTGGTTTGTTTACACTTCTATAGAGAACAACTGGTGTGAGTTTGATCAAAGTAGTCGATCGCGTTCAGAACTAACGTCATATGGAACTCGAAAGAAGTAAAAATATTGTGCACAAACACCTGGAAAATCCGGAGTGGTCCGGTTCCAAGCTGCCTAAAGTGCTGAAGATGCCGAAAACAACAGTTTGTCGAGTGCTCAAAACCTACAAGGAAACCCTGAGTGTGGAAAGGAATCACGAAAAAACTGGAACCAGGGATCTTCAGCTGCGCAGCAAGGTGTTGAGGTACGCTAAAGCCAACCCCGATCTTTCGATCCGATATGTGGCCAGAAGGTACAACGCCAACTTTCAAACGATGCGGAACATTCTTGACAGGGAAGGATACAAGTCGTACAAAGCCAGTAAACATCCGAACTGGCACATGAAGGGGAATTCCGTGGCCAAAAACCGTACGACCGTCTTTTGACGAAACACTAGGGCTGCACTTTGATCGACGACGAAACATACGTCAAACTCGATTTTAAGCAGCTTCCCGGTCAAAAGTTTTCCATCGCGACTGGACGTGTTTGCCGACAAGTTCGCGAAGAAAGCCATGATTTGGCAAGCGATTTGCAGTTGTAGCCTGAAAGCGGAACCATTCGTCACATCCTCGACGATGACATCCCAAGTTTACATCGACGAATGCACGAAAAAGCGTGTATTGCCGTTCATCCGCAAGCATAGAGGCAAAGTCATCTTTTGGACCGATTTGGCCAGCTGCCACTACTCCACGGTGGTTCTGGAGTGGTATACTGCCAACAAGTTCGATTTTGTCCCCAAGCTAATGAATCCTCCGAATTGCCCGGAATTTCGACCAATCGAAAAATACTGGGCAATTTCAAAGCAGCGACTTTGACGATCCACAATCAGCTGCAACTGAATAGAATAAATAATAAAGGTCCTAAATGAGAACCCTGTGGAACTTCCGAGGTGACATTAACTAGTGTAGAGGTTTTTCCGGACCATCTGTGTTCTATCCGTCAGGTATGATCCGATCCGTTTTAAAAGTGTTCTTGTCAATCCTGTACGTTTTAGCTTGAAAAGTAGCAAGGGAATATCTACTTTGTCTAACGCTTTGCTAAAGTCAGTGTATAATGTTTCAACAGCATTACTTCTATCCAAAATTTACAAATTCCTATAGATTAATAGATGTTGACCGACCTTTGAAAAGCTGGTTGAATATTTTTCTGATTAACAATCGCTTCAAACATGTGGACTTATTCCATCAGGGCCAGGCCCTTTGTCGGCATCAACACTTTCAAGCGCCATGCCACTGACGAAAGATGTTGACGAAGCTTCACGTGTTTGTTAATTCATCCAGTTTTGTCAGTACCACGTGAAACCTGTCATCGGTAATGTTAGCACTGAGCAGAACTGTGAATCATTATATACATTGGAGACGCATGGCCATTATCTAGTGAATGGGTTTATGAATTCATCAATCATTCCTAGGTAAAATTCC